TTCGAACAGACAGACGATATCATCGGCGCACTCCAAATAGCATAGCTTTTCTTCAGCTGTCCATTCAATGCCTACGTTTTGGAGTCCCCTTAGTGCGCTCTCCAGTATTTTGTCTACGGCGAAAGAGGGCACCCTTGACAAACGCCGCTGCTGGTGACGAACAGCCTACTTAGTTCGTTGTAGACCGGAGTTATGTGAGTACAGTGACCTCAGTAGGTTAACGTACTTCTGGGGGCATTCCTCTTGAAAGAAGGCAGCCCATCAGAGCTTCGCGGTCAACTGAGTCGAAGGCTCCTTTCAGGTCAAGGAACATTGCGATCGTTGGCCGACGGTGAGTATGACGCAGCTCAGTGATCTGACGCAACGTAAAAATTTGATCAATACATCCACGGTCAGGCCGGAATCCGGCCTGCTGTTCACGGATGTTGGTCTCTCTTAAAGGCGTCAGACGTCGAAGTATAACCGAAGCTAGCACTTTGGTGACGATCGGGATCAAACTCACCCCGCAGTGGTTTTCGCAATTGTTGCGGGATCCCTTCTTGAGAATGGGAATGATCAGTTATTCACCCCAAGATGAAGGAATGCGCTCTTGCATCCAAATGTTGCGCAGTGGGGTGGAAATAGAGGTTACGAGGTAATCACCTCCCATCTTGAAAAGAGTGGGAGGGAGCTGGTCAGGTCCTGCTGCCTTTCCTCGCTTCAGAGATTGAATGCAAGACCGAACTTCTACTTCCGTTGGAGGATCGCATGACACTGCCCACGGAGCTTCAGTCGGAGATGAAGCAGCCTAGTTAGCACTAGGCCAGCTGGTTTGATTCCGTACATGCTATGATTTATGTCAATATACAAGCCTTGACATTGTAACCCATTTATCTATCCATCTTATTTTGACTCGCTTTCTTGCCCATCTGACCGAGACCAATTACCTCTGGGTTTGATCATTTTCGTCTAAAGCTCACTCAATTACCAGTCAAGTGTATTACGTTCCCCCGGTGTGCGGAACAAACAGATTATACTCCACCGAAATATTTTTCCTCACCCGGCTACTCCCTCAAAAGAACTGTTAGTTGATCATAGACAAATCACTTCATTCCGACTGGACGGTCCTTTTAATAGTCTAATAGAGGAAGTGTGACTGCCAAAATACTAATTACTTTGTGGGGTTCTGTGGTGATCCAGGCCTACGTGATGACGCCTACCCTGGAGCGGCGCGTTACAGTTTTTGCACACCTGCGATCAATCCAATTTCAAAGGTGACGTCAATGACGCACGTACGTGTCACGGCTTCTGAATACACACCATAGGCAGATCAGGCCAGTCAATCACAATTCTTGTGGCCTTTTCCGCGCGTCTCAGTTACGTGGGACATTGCGTGCTAGTGCCATTGTGGTTCAGTGCTTCCGTGATCCAGTCCGTGATAGCTGATCCTTGATTCGTGTCCTGTAATTCGTATTGCGTTGTTCGTGTTCCGAGTTCTGTGTGCATTACTACTACTACTACTTCTGCTACTACTACTACTTCTACTACTACTACTACTACTACTACTACTACTACTACTACTACTACTACTACTACTACTACTACTACTACTACTACTACTACTACTACTACTACTACTACTACTACTACTACTACTACTGCGCCCAACATAGGTTCCTTTGAGAATGCTATTGATGGATTTAGCTGAAGGTACAAAGAATTCATTTGAAGGTACGACGGATCAACATGAAGTAAAGGCGACCTCATTCAAAGCTATAAAGATTTCGTTGAAAATAACTGAAATCAACACATTCATTGACTAAACCGGGGTTTTATTATTATCATTATCATCATCATCCGAGTCATCATCATCGTCAACAACAAATCAGCAGCTACTAATGCTACTACCACCACCACTACAACCATTGGACTGTTGAGTGCAGATTAAAGGAAGAATTTCTAAGTGGTTTGAGTGTTAGCATGAGTTTTGCACCCAAAAAGTGTCGAATGCTTCTGCACTGTTGGGCTGGCTCAGTTTCTCAACTGTCTTACGGCATAGACAATGAGGAGAGTACATTCAATCTCCTGCTTTATAACACCCGTGAAAAATCGCATTTTCTAACACGTTCCCACTTTTCAGCAAACACAAACCAACCGTATACGTAGATCCCAACTATGTCGCAGTCTGTCGCAGCTCCTGATACTTACTCACTCGGTAGCTAACCGATGTACAGGCTAACCATTGATCAATGAACATGCAATTTCGCATTTAGCCAATGACTTCTCACCTATTGGGACGCACATAAAGCAATTCACTAATTGATCAACTCGTGGAAGGAAGGCACATGAATGCCCGCAGTTCAACACGTGACAATTTGCGACCGTCTATCTATCAGAGATACGCAGCATGTGTCGAAAATGTTGAATGAACCAGATGCAGTTCAGAGCTTGTAGCAAAATTATTGGGTGCAGTGCTTTTCAGGATAGACGCCATTTGATAACCGAACGACATGTTCAAGGCAGTTAATGATACAACCTCAGCATGATTTACCACTCTGAGGGAAATGCATGGTGAATTCATAATGGTGGAGAGCATCATTTCCAAGACGATTGAACTATACCCTTTCAACTTCAAGTGAATACGTTGCAATTTCAAGTGAATCCAACCAATCGCATCCCATTGGGAACCACACAAGTTGAATGATGTTTCGGCCGTCAAACGTCCCCGATCGGACCTGATCTGTGTAAACACCACCACACGACACGACAATACAAAGAAAGGGAACAAGAAAGGATGAAGGTTTGCGTGGGGTAGGCTGTTCTTACCCCGCCGGCCTCTCCTCTCCACCCTGGAACGTTATGTCCGTGATCGTTGATCAGGTGTGCGTCATAGACACGAATGAACGAACCCGGCGGTAAATGACCTCTATCGGTCGAGTGGGGAAGCCAGTCACGTCAAGATGGATCGATAGATCAGTCACCATACCNNTACCCAAACGTGAATGCGGGTGTGCGTGAATGGATTCAGTCGAAGCCCTCAATATCCTAGTGGGTAAATTTCAGTGGGGCCGCGATTCCCTCAAATTACACCGATTCCTTTGAATCAAGTGCGATTGCCTAAGTATTTCTGACATTGAAATACGCACTTGAAGAGATGCATAACAAGGATATAAGGGTACAGTGAAATAATTAACATTATTTCACCTGAATACTAAGGTCTAATTAGAACCTAATCAGTAACTAGCAGAAGTCACATTTTTCTGTCATTCCCAGGTTGACTATTACATTCAATTCACAATGCCAATCGCGACAATCTGTCACCTGCAGTTTTTTCGTTTGCTACTCAGCTTGATCGTATAAGTTCTTATCCTTATTGTTGCACTGATCAACCCGTCGCATCTCTTCACATCCTGATTGCATCCGTTCGATCCGGATATTTGAGATAGTTGGTGATAAGATTTAGAGGAATACTGTACCCATCTCAACTTAATACCCCATGGAGCACCCAATACAGAGTTATCGCCGTTTTTCGGATCATGGATAACTGCTACTCATCCTTATACAACAATCAAACATTTATGATTTTGCAGCAAATACATCTTGTCGGGACAGTGGAATGCTTTTATACAGCCCTTTTGGTCATTTATTTTACTATGGTCATCAAAGCCACGGCTATGTTTGCGGCTGTAAGATCACGATTTACCACTTGAAACAGTTTCACCAGATGCAAGTAGAAATGAACCGCAGTGTTTCTGGTTTATTGAGTCACCTGGTACACCGGAAAAAACAAAATTGGACAAACGAAAGAATGGATATCTGCAGATATCATGGTTCCCCATTTCTCACCAGAAAAGCATGCGAAGATTGCATAGAAAACAATGGGAGGTTGGAATATTGAAAAGAAGTCAATGTTCTACGTATAAACTGTAACAGATGTTTAAACAGTTTTCCTATTATGTTGTTTCTTTTGATTGCGTTCTTTCTAACGAATTACACATTAATTCATCTATAGTCTGCATCGTCAACTGTGTCCTAATTTTGTGATGTCATGTTAGCGAAAACTGTTTTAGATTATGTTCTACCTCATGTACTTCAATTCGGTGGTCAGCCTTTACCATGCAAGTGAATGGGGAAATATTTGGAATTGACATTCGGTAATTGAGTGAGAAAACTTTCTATAGTATCTATAGTATCACACTGAGTGTTTCATAAAATATTGACATTTCTTCGATAACCAGAGACTATGTGATTACGCCTATTTGAATTATACTTTAAATAAACAACAGGTGATAATAAACAATGGACCAACTAACGGAGATAACAGTATTAATCGATCCTGATTTTTCATACTACTTAAAAGCATATACTACTGACCAACATGGTATGTCGCAGTTTCTGGAATTTATTCAAATTTCGAATTCCCGAGAGGTGTTACATAGCAAGATTTTCTTCCTAAATGGCTGTATCTCTACCAGTGGACGAATCTTGAATTAAGTTTTGGTTGATCTCAAAACTTGAGTTTGTTAGCATCAGTAACAGCTGGTTAGCCACTGTCTTTACATGAGTAATAATACAGTATAACACGATACTGGGATATCATTCGAGTCCTATTTGATTCATTCATCACAGGACTAGTTGTCTAATACATCAGATCCAATGAACTGAGCCCTGAATCGTTTTATACACAGTTCCATTAACACAGCACACGTCTTCTTACCTGATAGCAACCAGCGTACCAATGTCCGTCCGGTTCCAATCTCACAGCACCACCTACTACGTCTGCCTGGAGTTGATGCATCACGCGCAAAAGCCGATCCAAATCGGTGTACGGTGTAAATTCGACCATATTTCGACCGATCAGTACATATTTGGTCTGTACACGTTCAGCCAATTGAACCCATAACTGTGCATTCTCCTTCGCACCAAATAACGTCTGGTTCAGTGGGAGCGATTTGCACATCGTGTCGTTTGAATCTAGTGTCAGACCGACAGCCAGATGGATCACGATTTTGGGATAGACTGCGTGAATTCTGTGAACTAGATTGTGCGCACCCGTGCATGTTTCCATATACAAAACTATTTCCACCAACTGTTCCAGTGGTATTCGATTGCACGGCTGAGTGCGATAGATGTTTTGAAGCCATATTTTATCTGGACGTGTAGAGTCCCAGAATTCTGGACACACTTCATTTGTGGTCTCCACAGGTTCAGATGGGATTGAATGATCCGCGATTTGTTGTGTCTCGCTTTGCAACTGTGCGAGCAATTGAAGTGATCGTTCTATAAGCGTCTTTGTCTGACCAGAACGTGAATGTCGATGTGCCTTGTATAAGTTCTGCCTGATATGGTGGAGGAATGTGGGAACATTCTTTGACTGCCATTGATGGCCGCAAAGAAATGACGTGGAAATTCGTGACCTAGAGGCAAAATGAAGTCCAGAAGAATCGGGTAATTTGGGTTTTCTCTGGAATAATCATTGCAGTTTGACTGAATAGTCTTACAGTTAGATATCACACTGGTTTTGGGGATAAGCCCACTATGATACCCAGATCACGAATTGTGGACGAATGTATGCTTGCTTGGCTAGTCAAAGTTACGACCAAAAACATATGTTCTCTTATTTCCGGTCATCATGGGGCTCAATAAATAGCTTTCCATCTTCTTTATTTTCATCTTCTGGAATAGAAGTTCGATAAAATCACGCTCGGGGTAAGCCTAGTCACCACCGCTGTCGTCACCACACAGCTTACATGTCCATAACTGGACGCCGTTTCACCAAGTGCCTTTCTAGATTATATTTAAATCCCGTCCTTACTGATCTATCCTCTCGGACGGGGAAAGTTATAAAGAACAGTCGCTTCCTCAGAAAGATAATAATAGAAGAGCATTCCCATAGATTCCAATTTCTAAAGTGTTATTTATTGGACACGCTCCAGTTACCGGAAAATCTCTGACTCCAAATCACCACAGGCAAATTAATCCCACGAAACATTCAGTAGCATACCAAGAACAAGTGTATTGCGTGAGGCCAACCTTCAGTACTGTTTCCACGAGGCCTAGCAACATGTCATATGGATTATCGCTGTCAGTGTTCACTATTTTTATAATATTGTATAGGTTTAAATTTAACCCACCGTCTTTGAACCCTGAGCCCATCTAGGAGGCAGAAAGTATTTCTGAAATTCATGGTCAACAAACTACCCAATGATCTACGAATCGAACCTAACACGTGTTTATAGCCACGGCCTCTTTGACTGTTTCAATCTCCGTCTTTATTGTGGAGGTGACCATGACAACGAGATCCTATTCAGTCAGCTTTGACCACAGTAGCACGCCATTATTCCTTTAAACAGATACAATAGTCTGTCACCGCAGTCTCATGTATGTGCACTTAGTGACATTTACCCGTGATTCTCAACTCATGGTCCACGGAAGCAACCTGTCCAAGTATGCTTAGATAATGCAATATCCCACAAGGGTCCTTATGACTATCTTTATATCTTTACATCGTTCACGTAAATACGACGAATAGACAAACCATGGAACCACTGGGCTCAGAACCAGACTCGGCGGCACATTATTGGCGGCGAACAAAACCGCAGTTTCGACTATGAACCTTCAAAGTAAACCTCCTTAAGATGAGAAAACGGTCAGTACAAAGTATCAATGGTCCTCATACTCCTCAAACTCAGAGCTTCTGCAGTAATCTCCTGTGCGGCAGGCACCTTGTGAAACGTTTGGCTGACACCGATGAAGACAGCTTCCGTTTCATGACCAGCAGGCTTGGTGTACGAACATTCTTCGTGAACAAGTAGCAGATTCGACAGACAGGATGTCATCGGATGTCATGTGTGCTAGGCTGAACACAGTAGTCTGGTGGGTGAAACAACCCCTCGTAGAGGCACAGCGCTGATTCGCTTCATCCCTTTACATAAAATGGGTTTGTGGTGAGGGTTGCTAAAAACTACCTTCCTAAGTAATGTAAATACGACCGCAGTTTTACACTCAGTCAGCAATGTCCCCATATTTCCTGATTAAATAAATAGCCTAGCTAGTGTTGAAGAGATGGTTCGTACCATTTCCTTCAAGCTAGGGGGTGTATCGTATCGTAATCAAGCGATCTGCAGGGATTCAAGAAACTGAGGGCTGCAGCACTTTACTTGATGCGATATTCGCAGTAAGTAAAGGTGCAGACATGATAGACTATGGAGCACAGACAAAGCCATAATGTTCACTTAGAGTTTCCTCTTTCCCGTGTATGCAGGACTAATTTTGACTGGAAATTCCGATCAGAGCGAGACTTTGTGGTCAATGCACCAAGCTGTAATTTCTTTCATTTCTAAACTTGCTTTGATCGGTCATTATTTTCATTTATTACTTAGACTGTGTGTAGGTCAGTTGGCATCTTGGGGATGTGCTTAAAGTGTTTTATTCTTCTTTCCGAACAACCAATAACATTGTATAGTTAAGAGCCACATATAATTGTGTCCGGGATCTATCAATTTGAACCATCAATACAGAAGAAAGTGAAGGAAGTCAAACTCGAGGATCAATATCGGGAAATGCATTCAGAATGAAAGTCAAATTATTATGCATAACAAGTGGATACGCGTACAGGGGCCCCTGGTAATAGTATGCAGTCCTATCACCCGGTGTTTGTAACTGTTGTTGAGGCTGGTGATGTGGTCCGGAACCAGGAGCCTAATGTGACCTATACCAGCAACCCCCCTTGGTAGGATTTTCACACCCTTAAGCCACGTTATATTTGACATGAGAGGGATTAGTCTGGCGAGCATTTCTGTTTTCAGTGCGCGTTAGAGCTCATCGTTACGCTGACAGATTTTTACTTAGCTTTCAATTGAGGCCTTCATCACGTGGTTGCAGTGAGAGCTGACGATAAAGCTGTGCTTCAAAAGCGGGTTTCCAAATGTTGTTTACGACTGGAATCATGAGCACCGGTTCCCCAGAGTCATCGGCATGGTTCAGTCCGACAACAGTGATGGAATTTGGCTTGCACTAAAGTGTGGTATTTGTTTTCGAGTAACTGGAGAAATCATCAGACAGCGGAGATCCATTGTTTTACATTTGGTTATTTAAACTAGAAACATCACAAAATGTTGTATTTTTCATGCACGACGAATAGTCTCGAAACATGAAGTTCAGTCCCCTGTAGTAATCACAGCGTATTCATTTCACACCGAGATCGCTATGCGAACTTGGGATCTTGTGATGCTTGTGCAGCAAGATCAGTTAACACTGAGTGCTGAGCAGTATACAGTGATACAGGCAGACAACCAGCAACTCGGAATTTCATCCAGTCTGATGATCTGACGCATACGAAATTTGACTGTTTGAATGTTTTAAAGCTAACGTTGGGGATATAGAGGCTATCTAGTCAGAGAACAGATAGATAGATAGATCGACGGTAGTGCTATTCGCTGTGATGCGTTTTATACCAAAGTTAACTGTATCCACGGTTGGTCTTCCTTCTGCCGGATTTTGCTTTACCTAGTGGGTTCTCAGTTCGAATCGGAGTATGCAATATTCGAGAGTGAGTAATAATCGCAAGGAAGACTTTTGTCCAGGCTTGATCACCAGCGTTTTGTGGGAGCCTCCTGAAGGCAATAATAGGATATGTCAGCAGGCGTTAGGCCCGCTGAAGTGGAGGAGCTACTGTGATTTGCACACAACGCAATAAAATCCGCCCTACAAAAACAAACCCTCAACTAAATCTAACCAACTTGATTGGTTCTACGTTCACAAATGCACTCTCCGGTCGGCGTATAACTGGGTTTGACGAACAAGACTGCAGAGTTCAGGATGAAGCGAGAAACGACGAAGTTGGACTCTGTTATGATAGGGTAAACGTATTCTTTCTTTCATTTTGTGGTACCCTTTTATTGAATGCATGATTGCTCAAACAATTTTCTGAAAGAGGTAAATTTTCAGTCAGAGGGCTATCATGGGGTTGGAAGAGAACTGGCGGGAGTTAAGCGGTGATGACGAGGATGGTACAAAAGACCTCCCGGGGGATAACCATTATCACTCAAACACCGTCCGCTAAAACTTACCTATTGTGGTAACCTTGGACTACTACACTGATGATATTCCCAAGTGCTATCCTCATTCTTTGCCACCAACTGCTGCACACTATTGTAAGGCGGTTTGTGTGGTTTGTTTCAGGTACTGACGAGGCTGAAGGACACAAGTAATATTTTCACATTAGAGTTTGTCATCTACATCCTAATTTCAGTCAATTAAACTATCAATAATGAACTTAGGTTAAATAGAACCGCTTAATATGCCATTAGGTTCGCTAAAATTGGTACTAAGGGTAGAAAATTCAGTAGACATAATATGGTAACTCACAAAGACAGTGCATGTTCTGCGTCGTGTTGCTGGAGAAGAAACCATCCGATCAAAGTGAATGTCAACGAAGTAACACATATCACAACGATCTTTCGTGTTTTCCGCATTTTGTATTTTATCTCCCGTCTTGTTGTTTGCGTTCACGCGATTGTTTAATAGATTCTTGTATATCTTTGTGTGTTTGTCTGTTTGTGTGTATATGCTTTATTTTCCTCTAATTGGCTTGTAAAGTTGGGTTCTGGTACCCCGCTACAATCGATTAACTAAATTTATTCCATGGCAGTTTGGGTCTCAGTGTGACAATAGCGTATCGCATTGCCATGGTTATCCTTACACATTCGAGGTGTGGTTGTTCAGCTATGGTAGTACGCTAGACACTCCGATGCACCAACACACACTTGAATTTCTTTTCGCTCCTATGGACATCAGATCAACAGGATTGTGCAATACACCTGATGAGTTTCTGAAGCTACATCGTTCTCCTGGTTGCGTATTCTGCTTTCGACACTCAACCTAGAACCAGTTGTGTCATTTCGGATGAAGTTGCACAACAGTGATTAAAGGCCCTAATCGAATGCATTCGATAGTGGTAAATAATGATGTATCAGAAAAATACGCAACTCAACCCAAAATTTGCGAGAACCCGTCACAAGATCAGGCACGAATAATAAGAATACACGAATGTGGGATACGATATAAGCAACATGAAAGCTTTTTATTGCATGTCAGCTTCTAATTTACTCGCAGAACTCTGGTTTCATGTTCAAACATGACTTTGTGTATGTCACTTCTGACAATTAAACCGATGAAGCGAAACATATGCCGTACACTACACATACGAAAGCAACTGCTGTAACACAGAAAGAAAACAGTTACACAGCGTCACTTCATTGCTATATTTACGGTAATTTTGTTCCAAATTATATAGCATCTTTCACTCCCAACGGTTAAATTCTGTTGAACATGAGAAACCATGTATTTTCACAAAAAATCTTACAAATAATTCATCGTTAGCGTACTGAATATTCCAATTTCAAGGAAAATATTGAATCACGGACACCCCTCTTGACTGATTACGCTCTGCGATTTGGGACCAGCAGCATCATATCTAATTCGAGAATTTTTTTCACTAAGAATTCTATACTCTGTCGCACACGATCGGAATCACAAGTACTTCCATGATATTGTTCCTCTTTCATTTGATCAAAGCACCCATACTTAGCACGGATTGCACACCTAATACAAAAAGCTCGTACCTTCTCGCAGGTTACTGTTAACTTCACCTCTTCAGCCAAAGTATACATCCTGTCACTAATGGGTGATAAAATGCCCCCTCTGTCCACAAAACTTCTGATTTGAGGCTCGACTCCTGTCCTTAGATTCCTATTG